TTAAGGTGATACAGGACTGAAACTGGAAAAGTCCGTCAAAAAGCAGCTATTTTGAGTTTAAAATCAAAATGCGAATTAAATCAAGAAAAAGCTCTCTATTTCATTCTAAGTTGGTTTATTGCGGTTCTTTTAAGGTATACAGTAATATGTCTATATTTAAACGTAACTGTGGTCGCGACACGTTTTTTGAAGATAACCACCTCAAGAGCTGAACACACCCGAGCACACACACACTCTAACCTCTACGGCCGGCTCATCCTCGGGGGGTGGCGCAGCTGCCGGCTCCGGGCTTGGTGGCGGGCTGTGCGGCGGCGTTGGGGGCGAAGGGGGGATGGCACAAAAGGCGTCGAGGTAGTCTGAGGCCCCTCGCCAAGGGGGAAACGACTGTTGAACTTTGTGTCACCCGGATTACGGATTACCCGGATTACCTCTGGAGTATCCTCCGGATTAGGTTGCATTTTCTCTAGGATTACCCCTGGTCACCCTAAAATTTCCCCGGATTACCTTGGATTTTTTTCGAATTTCCCCGGATTAGACTACACCTGCCGGATTACCTAATCTCTGTCAGCCGGATTACCGTAGTCGTTTCCCCCTCGCCCCTCGCACAGCACATCATACTCCTCAAAAAGACGGTCACAAACGGATATTAGTTTCTGTTCAACACGGGTGCACGCCCAAACGGTAGGGTGCGCGGCGCGCGCCTGCTTATGCACTTCGCCGGCTTCGTCAGGCGCTTCAGCACCTCCAGACAGTCGACGATCGCGAGACAGACAAGAACCCCACGAACCTCAGGAAGCGCGGGGCGGCGGATTCGTCAGGCACGGCGCCAGGTGGGAACATGTTCACGTGCAGGCTACTGAGGTTGGGCACGACGAGACGACGACGGACAGCGAAGCACGAGCCGCCCCGGGACAAGACTTCGACGCGACCCTCTGCACGGGCACGACCTGCACCAGGTCCAGGACGAGACGACGCGACGAACGACGCGGGCGTCACTGGCCTCGAGGCGCACCACCTCCGAGCCACCCTGCCGCGCTCCTCCTTTCCCGCGGTCTTATCGTCCCAGGCGTCAGGCGCGAGCTGCGCCATGACCACGACGAGAGGGTGGGTGCTCGACCCACCAGGACACCGATGTCCTTTGAGACGAATCAGGGCCTCACCAGGCCCGCCTGTTCAGCAGCGCTGCTCCCTTCCCACGGTCGCACACACTGTTAAAAATTTTACAGAAAAAGTCCAGGTATACTTAGTGCCAAGTAAAAGTCTGGTAAAATTACCATAGTCCGTAAAATTACAGAACACTAGTAAAACAGATTCCTGAAATTATATGGAACCTTGTTTTACCATATTTTACCTGAATGTTATTTACCGAAATGATCTGTAAAATATTAACTGTAAAAACTTTGGTAAGATTGCATGTTGCAGTACTTAGAAGTAAAGAAGTTTACAAAAAATTTACTCGGCAAGGTCTTGTATGATGCAGTAATTTTTACTAGACATGGTCTGGTAATTATCCAGAGAGTGGGAAAATCAATCACTTGTACTGGTAAAATTATAAATTAGCAAAACCTTGAAATATACTTGCTTCTGTAAGTGGTGATACAGAACTTTTGTGTAAAAATACTTCAATCCAGTGGAAAATGTAAGGAATGAGTGATAAGAATTTCTTAACATTGGTATATTGCAATTTTATTTCAGCTGTCATCAATAACTTATAACAAAGAATAAAGTAATAGAGAACCAAAAGCATTTCACATTCGTTTAACTTTTACTTTAATTATACTGATGACTGTTTGCCTATATACTGCGCTGAGAGCCCCAGCCAACACAAAAAAAATCCATGCTGAAAACAGAAAGAGATTAGTACACGAATGCAATAAACTTGCATGATTTCCGAGCATGTCATCAAGTGAAATGTAAAAAGCTACCTTGAAAGAATCTGTTAATCCCAACTGTTAGTTTCTCACATACTTCCACAAGATATTGAGGATGATTCGTCCTCAATCATTGTTACTATAGTGCCAACCAGCAACCTGCACAAAACAAATGAAGACATTCATTAATTGGTATGTAAAAGTATATGAAACTAAGTACTTGCATAACTGACAAGCATCTCAATAAATTACCTCACACAAACTAGCTTAGAACAGTGGCAATCCATCTTGCATCACTCTTACTTCACTGGCAAACCAATGTTCGAGTTGATTGTCTTCCTGCACAAAACAAAGGGAGACATTCATTAATTAGTATGTAATAGTATATGAAACTGGGTACTTGCATAACTGACAAGCATCTCAATAAATTACCTCATATAACCTACCTTACAACAGTGGCGATCCATCTTGCTTCACTATCAAACCAATGTTCGAGTTGATCGTCTCCCTCAGGTTCCCAAGAAAAATTGTAACAGAAAATGACAGTCATTTTTATCCTGGAGAGAACAGAGGTAATATCTTGTGTTAACAAAGCCTAGGAACAAGACACTGTGATAAATGGTACAGGTAAAGTGATGGTGTAAAAAGTTCACAGAAATCAGGTATAAACAATGTCTTACCTCAAGTAAGGTTAGGATACATTCCATAACCTCCGCGCAGCACCGCATGGCTCGAGAAGAAACACAATTTAAAATTTGTATTTACATGCGCAGCTACGGTAGTTTCCAATGAGAGAACAAGTATCACATCAAATGTTTGGCAAAGTGGCACACGTTTAGGTTATGTCTCTGCCTTTATCTTGATTGCGAGCTAGGGTGCATGCGATGCGAACTTACTGCCGAGCATTTATGTCCTCTTCGACTTCTTTTTGTCTTATCTCTTCACCTCAACTATACAAATTCTTCTGGAACTTGACTAGCTGCATTTCTAGTTATTGTTGTTCTAGGCTTTACAACATAAGATGTGTTTTGAACCCGTTCCCGTTCTTGTTTGTCGTCTGCCGGCAGGCTCTGCCTTCTCGTCGGCGACGCTAGCAACGCGACTGACTTAGGCCACAACACACTTTCAACTGTTTTGTCATCATGTAAATATAGTTCTTAAGGGGGCAGACCTGTGAAATACAAGGGTTTGGGGAAAAATTCATAAAAAAAAAAAAAACGAGGTGACTCAGAGGGTTCGTACTGCCAGTATATGTTAAGTAAAGATGGCCCTACAATTTGGCCATTGAGCGGTACCGACCGCTCCACAAACATGGCCAGCATGGCCTTGAACTGGAGCGCATGCAGGCCTTTGTGGTGTGCACGATTGTGCCTGAACCGTTGGGTCTGCAACATCGAAAAAAATTGCTAGATTCTCTTAAAACATGTATCTAAGATCTGACTGGAGGGTTTTTTGAAATTCCACTCCGAAATACTTGAAAAAAAATCCCAAAAAATGAGTACAAAAAAATGGGTTAAAATTTGGGTACTTTTTCCCTGGTTTGGGTACCTTGCAATTGAGTTAAAAAAAATCGCCCTTGTCAGATCCTGGGCACATAAGTAGACAACATTCGGGCCAAATATTAAGTCGATAGCTCCAAAACTACGGCCTGGAGGTTGCACACCGTTTGCAAAAAGTCATTCCGAGAAAAACGAGTTTAAAGTTTTCAGTACCTATGTATAGCGACGAACCAAAACCAAGGGCAACTTACTGAACTGGTCCTAAAAGATTCTGGGGCTCTGGAGGACTCCTTCCTCGTCGTGAATTCTGTCCTGAGCGGCCAGGCGAGCCCTAGCGGTCCAGCCACCCGGCCACCCGCAGCACGTTTTGGGCTCTCCTGAGCGCAATTTTTCGAATTTCAACATCCGCTTTGCGGCATTAGAAAGAGGAGAGATCAAAGAATTTTTTGAGAGATGAAAAAAAAATTGAATTTTTTGATGATTTTCACAGGTCTGCCCCCTTAACCTGTCCCCCTTCCAAGCCGTAATATTTTATCCCCAGAAAAGTGATAAGAAGTTCATAAAACAAGTTTTCCCAACATATTTCAGACGTGTGTGTGTTGCCTACCCATACAGTATGAGAGAGAGAGACACGTACTGTCCTTTTAAGCAGTGCAGTGCAGAAAGTCGTAACTTTCGCGCCCCATGGTTGTTCACGTTTGGGAATACATCTTTCTCTAACTTTAAGTTGAGCATCTAAACACGAC